TTTTTCAAAGGCATGACATTTTGTAGTTATTTTGAACGTAACGTTACACAATTAAAAATATAAATTTTACCATACGACTATAAATTACAGAGTATTAAGTTATTTCCCCTCGATGGGGAAAAAATCCAAGTGAACATCAATCAGTACTCAATATTAATGTAAACTGCTTTAAATATGACTGCTGCTGCACTTCTGCGCTTGACTGTAGTCGCGTCTGTCTGCTTATTGAGTTTATTTAACCCATCACAATTTATTGGAACTGTGAACTAGAGTGACTACTCACCTTAATGTTGTTCTAAAGGCTTATTACTTAATAACACAAAAATGTCTTGCTCGCACTTGCCAATTTAATGGCTGAGAATGGTGACTTTAGTTTTTTGTTTGTTTGTTTGTTTTTGGAAGCGGATGCATATCTGTCGTAAAATAATCCTATGCATCTCGTGGCGTTGAAGCCTCCAAGCATAACTAGTGGAGTACCATCCTCAGGAAAGTTTGAGAGCAGCACATCTAATTCATCCAAGAATTATGGATTTAATTTTGGGTATCTATAACGACACTGATTGTTCATTTTAATGATGATTAACTGTGAACATCGTAGTAGAAGACCGCTGTTTTAGACGGGTAGTTAGGCTCGTTAATGAGCTTGTGTGTTTTGTGTGTGTTCTCTCATAGCGTGCGGATCGGGTCAGTATAAAGCGTCCATCGGTGGGAGTTTGTGTCGTGTGTGTCCAACCAACAGTAACACACACTCTCCTGGATCCAGTGTGTGTTTGTGCCGCCCAGGATTCCACCGCGCCGCCAACGACCTTCCTGATTCATCCTGCACCAGTGAGACACACACACACACACACTCTCTCTCACACACACACACACACACACGCTCTCTCACACACACACACACTCTCTCACACACACACACAGATGACCTCTGACCTCTGGCCTGTTCCTGCAGGACCGCCGTCGGCTCCGCGCAGCATCGTCTATCAGATCAATGATACGGTGGTGACGCTGGAGTGGTCAGAGCCGCTGGACCGCGGCAGTCGCTCGGATCTGTCCTACAGCGTGGAGTGTGTGCGCTGCAGAGGCTCCGGCTGCGTCCCCTGCGCAGACAGTGTCTCCTACAGGCCGGGGCAGGTGGGTGTGACCGGGAGGCGGGTCATCATCCACGGGCTCCTCCCACACACCACCTACACCTTCACCGTCATCTCCCAGAACGGAGTGAGCGCTGTCAGTCACACAAGCCCCGCCTCCAGCTCCGTCAACATCACCACCAGCAGAGACGGTCAGCACGCTCATAACACTTTAGAGGGGTCATGACATGGATTTTTTTATTGTTTTAATATGTTCCTTGAGGTTTATGTACAATAATGTTTTTTGCACAAAAAGAGATTTTGATTGAGAAATTGAGATTTATACATCATCTGAAAGCTGAATAAATAATCTTTCCATTGATGTATGGTTTGTTAGGATAGAACAATATTTGGCTGAGATACAACTATTTGAAAATCTGGAATCTGAGGGTGCAAAAAAATCTAAATATTGAGAAAATCATCTTTAAAGTTGTCCAAATGAAGTTCTTAGCAATGCATATTACTAATCAAAAATTAAGTTTTGATATATTTACGGTAGGACATTTACAAAATATCTTCATGGAACATGATCTTTACTTAATATCCTAATGATTTTTGGCATAAAAGAAAAATGTATAATTTTGACCCATACAATGTATTGTTGGCTATTGCTACAAATATACCCCAGCGACTTAACACTGCTTTTGTGCTGCAGGGTCACAAATATATGGAAAAATTATCATTTTCAACCCTCATTCTGACCCTCTGTCTAAAATGAGCTGTTTTAAGGGGTGTGTCCTTTAAGGCTTCTCAGTATTCAGCCACTGTTCTGATTGGCTGTCATCATTGCATAGGAAACAGGATCAATGCCCCCTCGCTATTGCATGTGAGTGTTTTGACAACATGATCAAAATAAATCGGTCATTTCCAGACGAAGCATTATGAAATCATTTACTTACAGTTTGTGATGCAGATCTAGTGCCGCTTCATCTTTCAACAGATGTTTCTTTGTGATTCTCCATGACACTGTGCCTCGATTACAAAACAAAATCCTCCGACACGATCCGGGACGCCATTAAAAATAAACTATCCTCTTGTTCCTTACGCTGAGATTCTTCTGATATCTGTACAAACACGTGAACGAGCTGTTTAAACCAAACGCGTCAAAGCAAATGTTCTTTCACTGCATTTGTCCTGACGACAGACTATATATATACTGTATACTGTATCCAGTGTAGATAAGATAGTGCAGTGATTGTCATTTCTGTTTGCTGTTGATGCGACGCGACACTCGCATTCAGCGTGATCAAGTGTTAGCCGTTAGCAAGTGAACGCCAGTGGGCGGAACCTATGCTGAAAGGAAGACTATTCGTCGATGTCTTGCTCTGGAGGCGTGTTTATGCAAATGTTTGTGCCCCTGTGACATCATCTTGCGCCTCAGATCCAAACGAGCCGTTTTTGGAGCTCGATTAAATAAATGCTTTGTTTATAATGAGGAGGATGTTTTAAGCTATGAAACTTGCAGGATATTTTAATGGTACAAAGAACACTTATATGGCAAAAGATCAAGGCAAAATTTGATTACTCGTGTCATGACCCCTTTAATAATCATTAATTCTGTAAAAACAGAGAAGTCCATGCTACAAGTTGTGATTATAGTTATGAAGCGTGTGTGTGCGTGCGTGCGCAGTGGCCGTTGAAATGTAAACAAAGAGTGTCTTGAGCTATGAATGAGAAAGATCTAAGTAATAAAACTTTTCTCAGGGATGGCAAGTAAATTAATGAGACCTATTCAGACCTTTAGTTTGGAGGAGTGCAACGAGTGTGTGTGTGTGTGTGTGTGTGTGTGTGTGTGTGTGTGAGTGTCCACCTGTGCCTGACCCCTGACCTGTGTGCTGTAGGATCAGGATGACGGATGGCAGTACATCAGCAGTAAAAGCAACTCGGTGGTTCTGAACGATCTGACCCGCGCGTCACAGTACCAGGTGCAGGTCAGAGCCAGAACCGCATACATGAGAGAGTGATGCAGACACATGAGCGATCGTGACGCCACCAGAGAAACATGTTATTAGAGTTAACATGAGTTTAGTTGTTTACTGTTGCCAGGCAACAGCCTGATGCATTGCTGCATGCACAGAAAATGTGCTTCATGTGGCGACATTTACATGACCTGTTTGTATTGTTATTTTGACTAAACTCAAAAATATGTCCGTAAACTCACCTGATAACAAGGTTACATCAACAAAAGTCATTTTTGAGAGTTTAATCAGGGAGGAAAAAACTCCTGAAATCCATCTACTCTAAGATCTGAACATATGTGTAGCAAAATATGATTGAGAAAGAAAGTAAATAATATTTATTTATAAAAAAAAAATATGCTAAATAATATAAAATAATTTTTACATAATTAAATATTTATAATTGAGATATAAAGTCAATAATATATACTTATAATTAAAAGAATAAATAAAATAAATAGTTTGCATATTATTTTCAATTGACAAATAAAGTAAATAATTGAATTTTGTATCATGAAATATTATTTATGATTGACAAATAGTAAATTGACTAAAAACTTGCTTAAGTCTAAGCCAGTCAGAACTAAATGGCCACTAAAATCAGTCTGTTTGTAGGTTTATCTCAAGATTTGGTGTTGCAGTGCATCCTGAAAATCCAAATCATCAGCCACTTCAAACCAAAATATATATATAAAAATAACAAAAAAACTTAAATTCCTTTTATTTCAGCTGTATGCCAAGGCAGTTTCATTTAGTTTATGTTGAAGTACTGAAATAACCTAAACTAAAACTTAATAAAAACTATTTTAAATATATTTATTTTTTTATGATATCAGTTACGAGTCTTTAAATTATAAACAAGTTGTCACTGTTTTTTTCTGTATCTAAATAGTTATTGGTTTTTATTTAAGTTTTAGTTATTTAATACATCAACTTAAACTAAATGAAAATGACATGTTTCTTTGGCAACTAGCTGAAATAAGTTTTTTAATATTTTACTTAATGTCCTTTAACTTTTTTTTTTTTAAGTAACATGTTTTGCGTTTACGTTTATTCATTAATCAGGCTTTTTATCCAAAGCGACTTACAAATGAGGAACACAACAAGCAGTTCATCATAAAGAGACAAATAACCCTGAGAAAAGCCGATACGGTTTCAGACATTGTTCAGATGTTTTGTTGTGGTTGTGGTTTAATTGTGTGTGTTTGTGTGTGTGTGTTTCTCACAGGGATTAAAGTGTACATCGATCCGTTCACATACGAGGATCCGAACGAGGCGGTGAGGGAGTTCGCTAAAGAGATCGACGTGTCGTTTGTGAAGATCGAGGAGGTGATCGGTGCCGGTGAGAACCGTGTGTGTGATTGTTGAGCGCAGGTGTGGCGCGGGGCTCGTGTTTCTGCGTCAACAGCAGTAATATGGGCCACACACACCTGATGAAAGCACGCCTCACGTTACGCTATTGTGTGTGTGTGAATCTGATAGTCTTCATATGTGATCTGTGTGCAGGTGAGTTCGGTGAGGTGTGTCGCGGCCGGCTCAAGGTCGGGTCAGCTGTGTCGCCCGCTCTCACCCATCTCTCTGTCTGTCTGATGTCGGGTCAGCTGTGTCGCCCGCTCTCACCCATCTCTCTATCTGATGTCGGGTCAGATGTGTCGCCCGCCCTCACCCATCTCTCTGTCTGTCTGATGTTGGGTCAGATGTGTTGCCCGCTCTCACCCATCTCTTTCTCTATCTGATGTCGGATCAGATGTGTCTCCCGCTCTCACCCATCTCGCCGCCTGTCTGATGTCGGGTCAGATGTGTCGCCCGCTCTCACCCGTCTCTTTCTCTGTCTGATGTCGGGTCAGATGTGTCTCCCGCTCTCACCCGTCTCTCTGTCTGTCTGATGTCGGGTCAGATGTGTCGCCCGCTCTCACCCATCTCTCTGTCTGTCTGATGTCGGGTCAGATGTGTCGCCCGCTCTCACCTGTCTCTCTGTCTGTCTGATGTCGGGTCAGATGTGTCGCCCGTCCTCACCCATCTCTCTGTCTGTCTGATGTCGGGTCAGATGTGTCGCCCGCTCTCCCCCGTCTCTCTCTCTGTCTGATGTCGGGTCAGATGTGTCGCCCGCTCTCCCCCGTCTCTCTCTCTGTCTGATGTCGGGTCAGATGTGTCGCCCGCTCTCCCCCGTCTCTCTCTCTGTCTGATGTCGGGTCAGATGTGTCGCCCGCTCTCCCCCGTCTCTCTCTCTGTCTGATGTCGGGTCAGATGTGTCGCCCGCTCTCCCCCGTCTCTCTCTCTGTCTGATGTCGGGTCAGATGTGTCGCCCGCTCTCCCCCGTCTCTCTCTCTGTCTGATGTCGGGTCAGATGTGTCGCCCGCTCTCCCCCGTCTCTCTCTCTGTCTGATGTCGGGTCAGATGTGTCGCCCGCTCTCCCCCGTCTCTCTCTCTGTCTGATGTCGGGTCAGATGTGTCGCCCGCTCTCCCCCGTCTCTCTCTCTGTCTGATGTCGGGTCAGATGTGTCGCCCGCTCTCCCCCGTCTCTCTCTCTGTCTGATGTCGGGTCAGATGTGTCGCCCGCTCTCCCCCGTCTCTCTCTCTGTCTGATGTCGGGTCAGATGTGTCGCCCGTCCTCACCCATCTCTCTGTCTGTCTGATGTTGGGTCAGATGTGTTGCCCGCTCTCACCCATCTCTTTCTCTATCTGATGTCGGATCAGATGTGTCTCCCGCTCTCACCCATCTCTCTGTCTGTCTGATGTCGGGTCAGATGTGTCGCCCGCTCTCACCCGTCTCTCTCTCTGTCTGATGTCGGGTCAGATGTGTCGCCCGCTCTCACCCATCTCTCTGTCTG